AATTGGCACTTGTCGCCCAGTTCGGTCCACTTTTCCCCGAATGCTTCCCCGTCCATTGCTTCCTGGCCATTCAGAAATTAGAAATTGTTTACCCACCGTTTCCATTTGCTTTGCATAGTTGGAGGTGGAGTTGCCCGCCTGGATCAGCGGCCTTCCGTTGTTGAACACCGCGCAGATCACCATTCCCAGCGAGAACATGTCGCTCAGCAGGCTGCACTTGGACGTCGACTGAGTTTCGGGAGCTAAGTGGCAATAAAAAAAAATTTAAATAAATAAAAACCATGTAAATACAAGCAAATTGCAAATTGTTAGAAATTGAAGAGGTAAATTTCTAAAGAATACATGCGATAAGTAGACAAAGAACATTTTATATTGAATTAGGTTAGCATATTACGTATAGCATGAATGTCCTTAAAACATTTATTAAGCTAACAAAATGGTATTTCAACATCAATAAAGCTTTAATCATAATCAACTTTTTATAACATAGGTAAAGAAATTTCAAGTTACCTATTTATATGAGACCAAATTTGATTTATTAATTTTATAGATGTTACCTTTTTTGTTATTTAAAGTCGTTTTTTATCACACTTAATACTTTAATAATACTATTATCTACTCAATATATATCTTTATCACCATTAGTTATCAAACAGCCCTTGGATCTAGGAGTATACCTACTAAATTCCCACTTCACCCATGACAAATCATTTACTTTGACATAAGAAAGTCCCAAATTGATGGTGCTCAGTTCTGTTGACTTTTCCGAAAGCACTAAGGTGGAAAAGGGCATGACCAATCTGTAGGCACTCACCCATAAAGTCCAGATTCGGCTGGGCCATCTTGGACACACGGTTGCTCCACGGCGGACACGGAATGGAGCTGTTCAAATCGTTCTCGTTCATTCGCTCTGCAATCCGAATATGCGAATATGAATACAAATGCTGAGCCGGCCAATCCATTTCAATTTCGGGATTCTCCGGGAGGACCGCACTTACCCACATACTCCATGCCGGCGAGCTTCCAGATACCGCGCTTAGTTATTAGGATAGAAGATGGACACACATTGCGATGAATTACGTGACCGGAATAGTGCAGATACGCCAAAGCCTCGGTCAGCTGGAAAACAGGGGAGCGCCAAGCGGTCGTTTCAAGGGGTGCTTCTCTGGCCCACGGCCACCTGCCAGCTGCCACTCACCTGGAGGAAGCCGTACTTCAGCTCCATGTCCAAGAAATTGTATTCCTTGGCATGAGCCGGCCGCTGGGGCAGAGTGCTCGTCGCCGCCTGGGCCTGGACCGCTGCCGTTCCGCTCGCCGCCGGCGTCACATTGGTGCTCTCGTATGTCTTCGATTCCTGCACAGAGAAAAAATTTAATTTATTTACATAAGAAGAAAAAGGATTTTTAAAATAATAGTAAATCCTTGTTGGCTTTTTGAAATTAGAAGCTAAAACCGCATTGTATTCTAATTATAAGTATTCTAATTATAAGTTCTGTCAGCGCCTTTTTATTTTCAATAATAAATTGTTATTTATTTTTGGATTCTTAATAAGATAGCTTAGCCAAACAACAAATGCGGAATTCGTATTTTAAGGCTCTTGAGTTTATAAATAATATTCTATCAATCAGTTATATTAAACTGCGAAAGTGTAAATTAAAACATTTTTGTACTGTAAGAAATTATTTCTACCCATTTGCAACATAATAAAAAAAATTTAATATGCTATCATTTAAAAGAAGAATAAATGATAACTTTGAAAAATTAAGAACGTATAAAGTAAATAAATAAAATACGATCTAAAAGAAATAACAAATATTTTTATTTCTTATGTAAATCGAAGTATAAAATATATGATTATTAATATGAAAGCATTAATCATCAGGTATGCCTAACAACCTTTGAGCCCCTTTTATCATTTCTCTTTTCGGACTGAAATAAATCACTGCGCATTTTTATATGCTAGATTTTCCCGAATTTTCCCGTGCACGGTGCGGACAGGCAATAAAGAGTTAGGGCCTAATCCCGGACTGAGCTGCTCGGGTGGACTTAAATTTGTTTCACCGTCGACTTGGATGGCTGGCTACTTCCAGCTCATGGCTTTAAATTCCCATTCAGAGCATTGCATTTGATGATAAGCCATTCAAATCTCTCGTGTTTCTGTTGTTTGTTCGACCCTGGCTTTCTGTTTTTCCCATCGCATTTTCCCTTTTTTTTTTTCCAATTTTTCGTTTGTTTGGTGTGTGCATGTGAGTGCTTTGAGTTTTACCTTTTTGCAATTTTCAATGTAATTTAACTCGAATCGACTTTCATGGAAAACTAAAAACTATAGAGAAGGTTCTGTTCTTTTGGTTATTGCTGAGCTGTTTACGTGGAAATAGGTGTTGTTGTAGTTTTCTGCGTGGCCTTAAACAGAACAGGTGCAGTGCGTTTCGGGGCTGTAAGGTGGTTGGATTTATACTTTCAAAATTATGATTAAATCATACAATTTTTAACAATAACGCTTACGCAGAAAACTGTGCTACATTAATTTTCACATCAATATTCAACTTAAAAATTTGTTAAAGAATTTTTAAAGAATATTAATCTAAATATTTTATGGTATTAAAAGGACCAAAAATAAGTTAAACAAAAAACTCTGAAGTTTTTTAAAAATACAGAAACAAAACTATGAAAACTTGTGTGTATATTCTCTATGTTCTTTTTACCTAATTTTCTAATTTCATCTCCCAATTTGGTACGTTCGACGTTAAACTTTTGTTTATAAACCCAAATTAATTAAAGTTTAGCAACTAATATAATCCAATGTCCTGGCTAAAACCACCTTTAAGTTGTGACACGCACTGTGTGTGTGTGCGTATCAATTTCCGAGCTGGCGGACCAACTGAAGCTTTTTATTGACTCAATCTTGGCAGCGTAAACTTTCCCACACACACTCACACACTCACACTAAGTCCCCGTGGCACACGCACAGGCTCTGTGTAATTCAATTTAGTTGTGTGCGAGAGCTGGCGTTTGTGTTTCTGTCATGCATATCCAGCATTTACCCGCTTCCACTAGCCACCGGCCACGCCCACTGCACTCCGCCCACCGACCATCGCCCACCGCCCACTTGGCATTGTGCTCAAAGTTAAGCTATATGCACTTGGCTGGCTGGCCAGCAAAAACTTTAACAAAACACAGCAGCAGCAACACCAAAAACAGTGCCACAATCAGCCCAGCAGTCAAAACATTGTTCCACGGAGCCTGGCAAATGGAAGATGAACAGTTTGTTCGCAGAGGTGAGAATACACGCAAAAAAAAAAACCAAAGGTCAAGGATAATATTAAAAATAAAATCCATACATTAAATCAACTAAATATATGTTGGCTTTATAAATTTATAAGAATTCAATTAGTATATTTATGTGTGAAATAGGGAAAAATAAAAATAATGGTATATTGGAAGTAATAAATCATTCTACTTTTAAAACTCATCTGTAAAACTTCCAAAAAAAATTATATTTTTTAGTATACTGAGCCTACAAAAAAAACCAGCTGTTCTAAACCCATAATGTAAAATTTTTAACTATTAAAATAGTTTTTTAAATAAATAGTTTTTTAATAAAGGTTCTTTAAAATGCAATATATTTTTCATCTTTATGAAATTAAGAGTATTCCTTAAGGGGTCCCTAAATTTTCAACCGTGTCGAAACATCGAAAAGCGTAAGAGGGCAGAAAAAAGGCCGAAACCAATATAGGACTGAAAGGCAACCAGGCGACAACACAAATTGCATGTCCGTGTCGCTGTCAGTAACTCAAACTAGAAGCTCGCAGCTGGCAGTTGGCAACTGGCAACTGGCATCTAGCTACTGGCAACTGGCAAGTGGAAAGTGGCAACTGAAACTGTGGCCAAAACTCACGTGAAAGGCCAGCACATTCGAGAGGCTGGCGAAGATGGGCTCGGAGGCGAAGGCCAGCGTGTCCGCACTTTCCTCGACCGTGTGATAGATTTGCAGTATCTGCGGAACAGAAGAACAAAACCCAGAAAGGAAGGAGGTCTTACGGAAAAGTAATTATCGATTGGGGAAACCTGGGAAAACACTCACCCGCGGATGGCGGAAACGCTCCAGTGTCTTCACCGAACTCTTTAGCAACTCCGTTATGGTCTCCTTGCGACGCGGCTTGTGCAGCTTCTCGGCAATTTTTTCTCGAATATGAAAACGGAGCACTCCTGCGAAGCGAAAATGCAATTACGTTGAGAAAAGAGCGGCGGGAATTACATAAGTTTGTTGCACCCTTCAAGCAAATGTTTTTAAAGTGTGCTAAATATTGTTTAAGGATTGGAAAAGTTTTTAAAATTCAACTTTTGAAATATTAAATTTGAACATTTAAAACATTCAAGAAAAAATAAATACTTTTTCTTGGATTTTTAATACATTTAATACATAAATTGTACTAGCATGAATAATTAAAAATATTTTAAATATAAAGATTTGGTTAAGGGTTAAAAAAAAATCTTGTATTCTGTATATATTTTAATGTGTAAATTCAAAACTATTTGTAATTAAGTTTTACAAATAATCCTTATTTTAGTTTAAGAAAAAAATTCAACTGAAGAAATGATATCCATTAAAAGCAGGTGAAACCATCATGTGATACATTCACTAAATGTTCAGAAGTTCCCTTTCCTATTTCCACCTTTAAGAGTGATATTCCCCCAGGTTAAGCCCAAAGCCCTTTTGGAGTGGCCCACTCACCTTGTTGTCGCTCTTGCGGTAGGCATCGTGGATGCGCCACACCAATTCTGGGCCGGCACAGGCCACCGGCTTGCCGATTTCAAAGTACTGCGTAATGGGATTGCCATCGGCGACGCTCTGCGTGGTTGTGGAGGCGGCCACGTTGGTGCTGCTCTTGAATTTGGCAAACATTGTGCCGGCGGGCATACCATCGATTAGCTTTGAGAAGACATTCGAGAAGCTGCCCTGCCTCTTGGGTCCCGGCTGAACTGGAGCAGTGCCCCCAATGGATGGCGCCGATCCACTTCCGCCCGTTGGCTCACCGAGTGTTGAACCGGAAACTGCACCTGTCACTCCACTAACTGATGCTCCTGCTCCTGATGCTCCTGCTGCTCCACCCGCTGATGATTGAGATGATGATGATGCTGCGCTGATGGACAGACGTCCGCGATTTGTTGCCGCCCCGCCGACTCCCTGGCCATTAAAGTTGGCGTGCTGGCGACTGGCAATCACTGACACCGGCGGATCATAGCCACTGAATCCATTCGAGCCACTGATATTGCGTATAACCGGTGATGTGGGTCCTCCGGCCAAGCCACCTACGCCACCCACGGATATTTTACGCTGCGGCAAGTTAATATCGAGCACTGTGCTGGCGCTTCGCTGTCGTACCGCTGACACGCCTCCCGCACCTGCCACGCCCACCGAAGCTGCACCCGCCACACCGCCGACACCGCCAACCACGCCTCCAACGACGAACTGCTGCTGCTGTTGGCCACTTCTGGCCGGTGAACCCGTTGCCACCACTGCCGCTGCCACCGCACCCGCTCCCGATCCAGATATTAATCCAGATCCTGATCCGACACCTGATCCCACTCCCGAACCGGCAGCTCCTGGTCCGCCCGGCGGCGTTATTCCCACAGCGCTGCCACTGCGACCGCGTTGCACCTCCTCGACACTATCCAAACGTGAGAAAATTCTGGCCGCCGTTGTTGCCGTCTTTGATGTCGAAATTGGGCCAGGAGTGCTCCTTCCTTTTCAGTGCTCCTTGTGTAAGCTTGTTACCCTGTTAGCTTGCCTGCAACGGAAGGGAGTGAGAGAGTTGAGGGAGGTGCGAAATAAATTTTAAATTTCATCTTAATTGCGGCCACTTGACATCCCTCATACGCCCCGTTGGCCAGGCGACCATTTATTGCCCCCCACTCCAGCTGCACTGGCAATTAATGCGCTTATTGCCTGGCTCGGCTGGCTTGCTGGCTTTTGTGTGCTCAATTTATGCACCCATTAACCCCCGGCAAAAGAAAGAAGGGAGAATTTAAATTTGCCAGCAAGTCAAGGTGGGTTAATTCTATTCACCAGGGAGCCGCATTGGATTACACGCAATTTATTTCCACCAGCCAATTGTAGCGAAAGTTTTGTGAAAGCCCAGCATCTCTAATTAGCAGTGGTAATGGTTGCCATATTTATAGGCATTACTCAGTCGCAAATTAAGTGCATTTGTATGTTTCGTAAAGTTTGAGCAAACACAAAAAAAACATAACCATTAATAAACAAGATTCGCATTAAATTTAAACGCAATAACAAATTTGTTATTTATATTTCAGCTTCACTCTTCCGTAAATGTTTACTTTAATTAAATAATTATTGTTCAATGTTGCGGTTTTTTTTTACTTTATGCATATGCATTGTGTTTGCATTGTAAAAATTGTTTACTTTTTTTTGAGCTACCAATGTTATTTTCTGATGAGAGTTTTTTCTGACGACAGTTCGTGACATTTACTGAATTATCTCAACCATAAGCTGGCCATAATCGGATTGATTGGTATCGTGGGAAAGAAACACTCTGCCTACCGATAGTTACATATATTTATTTTTCAAGCCAGGTATTAAATATCTAAAGTGTTAGCTGGATAATATTTTTAATACAATTTTTTTTCAAAAATAATTAATATTTTCTTTTCCAAAAATCAACTAATATAGAGCATTTAAGCTTCGTTATTATGATTTTCGCCTCAGTTAAATTACAGTTTCCACTTCCTTGGCATTCGTTTGACCTCCTCACACAAAACTGCACAATTAAAAAGTTAAATGAGTTTGGCCCCGACCTTTCATTGTGGATGAATACGTAAAAGCGCGTGTGATTGCTGGCGACAACTTTTTTGTGAATTCATGGAAATGCGCTTACGGCACAAACACTTTATTAATTGCTGGAAAAATAGCGACGCTCGCATAGAACATTTTTGCATGACTATTTGGCAATTGCCCAAATGGAAGCCTAATGCAATTTGTCTCGACAAACATGTGTCAAAGTGTCTGGCACATTTCCCGCACACTGACTGCACTCTCACTGTGCCACCGACGACTTTTCCGGCTTTTCCTTTCCAACAAGCAACCAACCAACCTTTCCCCCCGGGGCCTGTCTGCTCTTTGGTGTATATTCTTCACCCGACTGAATTATTCAATGCAAGTAAACATTTTGGCAAGATGCTCGCCCGGCAGCTCAGTGGGGAAGCCAACAAATTGACTTGAGGCATCTTACTCGGGGCCAAGAGGAATTACGAAGCCAACGAGGCTACATAAATTTCCAGCCAACGTAAAACTATTTAGTGGAAAACCTTCACTCGTCCAGGCCATTGCAGTGTTGCGTAAAATTTTTTCGTTAAATAAATTGTGTTGATTGTAAATAAATAAAGTATGAGAGCCCCGTAGATCGACCGCATTGTGTGCTTAACGGTGGCTATATAGACTATACACCACTGAGAACAAAGTATCCAACAAAAACAGTTGGACAGACAGACGGACAAACGGACAGACGGACAAACGGACAGATGGACAAACGGACAAACGGACAGAGGGACATACGGACAAACGAAGGACTAACGACACCGGACACGAACTGATGACTGCTGACAGAATACGGCGGACTCAGAATGAAGGACTCAGGATTCAGGACACAGGACGAAGTCCGGCGGAAGACGATTGGCGGCCGTTTGAGTGGGGGCAACTTTCTAGGTCAGCGTTTTGCAATTGAGGGCAAACAAGCTTAAATATTTAAGACGGTTAAGCGTGGCGAATGAATGCGGTTTGCTTTTACGGCATTCTATTTGCAATCTACGGACCTTTAGAATTTGCTAGTGGGCTAAGTCTACTTACGAGAAATTCTAAAGCAAGTGTATTTCAAAAACCATTATTTCAGGAGGTATTCCTATTTTATTTTACCTTATGTGCTTATTTTTATTTTTGCAAAGCAATATTTGTTGAAAGCAATACTCATAACACTTTTTAGCTGGGAAAATGGATTTAACATACTTTATACTAAAATTATTTATGTATGAATACTAAATTACAAATTTAATTAAATTTAAACAAATGAATTAAGCAAAAAAATGAACTTTAATTGAAATAGACTGTATTTGTTTTGCATTTAATTATGGTTTTGTAAAATTCCACCATGCGTTAAATCAAAAACAAAATCAAGTTAATTAAAACCTCACGGGCAGGTCATAAATCAAATCATATGCCAGCTTTGTGTAAGCATTATGAATAAAATTCATTAAATATGTTTTATAAATTATGCAGGCTCTAACGAGTGGGAATCGCGTTAAAGCCAATAAATTTCCATAATCATTCATTCTTCGCGTGGCCGCTTTAATCAGAGCTAAACGTGGCTATTTAATGGGAGTAATAATGGCGGCGATATCTTATCCATTGATCAGCCATCGGGTTTCTAATAAATGTCATTTGGATTTGAATTTTCTAAATGCAGAGAGGAGGGATTTTGGTGGTTCGATTGGGGCATTGAAAATCCGTTAATGCGAACCGCTCGTGTTCTGGACACGTGGACTCTCGCCGGTTTTATTGATTTCGTCTTGGGCACGAACCCCGACTAAAGCAGCCAAAATTAAATGATAAAAGCGTAGTGCAAACACAAAAGCCCCCGAAACTCCGGGAATTATTTTTGGACCGCCAGAGAAAAGCAAAAGAGAGAGATTTTCCTGTGTTAAATTTGACAATTTCAGACACATAGAGGCATACGCAATGAGACTGTGTGTGTGTGTGTCTGTGTTTGTGTGTGCGTGTGTATTTAATGTTCCGCCCAACGAGCAATGTGAGTTAAATATTTTTAGCCGAAAGTCAGACGAAGATGGGCAACAAGCGGCCAACAAAGGAGGCAGTAAAAACAACAACATGTTGCTAACTCAAGCGCTGATTGAAGACAAACAGACAAACACACAAGCACAACACCAACACAAGCACATCACGCACAGTGGCCAAAACAAACGATGGCAGACGCACGCACACAGATGTCTCAATTAGACAACAACGGCAAAAAAAAAATGGGAGCAGATATGATGGTCCTTTGGCCGCACCAACACACAGACAGCAGCTCACGCACACCAGGACACACCAGGACACAACAACTGTGTGTCAGTTAAGGCAATGCGGACCATCTTTTGTTTGCTCTTGCCTCATTTATTGTTCGCCTGCCGAGCGGAACAAAAGCCATGCCGCGAAACGGAATGCTTTCCAGACTCAAGGGTATTCTTTAAAGCCTTAAATAGAAATTTTTACTCTTTTGTTTAATAACATAATACTTTTTATTGAAATATATTCAGGAAAATGAGCAAGATGACTTCACATATTCAAAGCAAACAAAATTGTGGTAATTTATTTAAATAAAATAAAACAAATTGTGAAAAATAGAATGGAATGTGTTTGTGCTATATTATTAGATGTTGATTTATTTATCCAATTATTTATATAAATATAATTAACTATCTAAATAATACTTATACAACTTTAAAATGAATAAAAATATGTTACACCACTTTGTATTTTTTGTTAATTTTTATTCCCAAAAATTCCTTTTTTTATTTTATAGTTTTAAATGTGATAAAATCTCTTTAATTTTTCTCCAGAGAACAGCTGCTGAGCAGGAGCAGTGGCTCCCCGGGTGCAAGTCATCTCCATTCACTCAAATTCTTGCCGGGAGCGGAGGGAGGAATATTCATCGCATACTTTCCAGCAATTCGCATTTATTCGCTAGAATTTCTTGCCGACTAACGACAACTGCTGCGGTTGCACCTGCTGCAATGCTAATTACCCTCCTCCGACGGACTGAAGGATCTCCTTCTGGTTGGGCAATAATCCAGGACCATTAGCAAGGGTTCATTCCCCGTTGGAAACCAAGGAACCAGCAGAGAGACAGTTCAATACACAGGGACATGGCTCATCCCCTCCGCCATCCGCCAGTCACCATCCTCCGTTCGCATTTCGCCCTCGGCCAGAGTGCGCACATTTGCATATTACGTATACGGCACGTGAACGTGCCCTGGGAGCAGAGCTGTCACCGAGGCATTAAGGCTGCTTAATTAAATCTTTTGCGTAATTTGTTTAGCTATCCTCCGATGGTATCCACTCGAAAATTGAATGCCATCGAGTGTGGCAAACAAAAGCGTCTTAAGACATCGGTTAAGTGCGACTGACGAGCGTTCATAATTAAATTGTTGCTAAATGCTAAATGCAACGCCAGCAGTAGAGACACAATCATGGCATAATTATTATATATTTTGTGGCCCACCAAGGACTCTAAACTGTTTGCACCGACCGAAACGAAGTTAAGCGCCACAAGGAAACCCAATTAAAGGGCCGAAAAGAAACTAACCAATTCGGAAGAATGGGCAATTAGTTTTCGGGGCAAGAGTGGCTCCTTGGGTGTTTTTGTTATTCTTATGCGTGCGTGAGCACAATATGTTGCCATGTTTGGCTGGGCGGATTAATTGCCAGGCCAATATGCGTCAAAGTCAGGCCTCGATGCCCCCGTGCGTTAATATGTTTGCTTTGGGCCAACTCAGAGCGCATCCCCGGCTGAGTAATCAGTTTTCAATAAAGCCGCTCCGTTCGGGTATTTAACGGCTTAGCACAGAGCAACACTCGTGTTTACAAGCACTCAGTGGGAAAAGGATACGCTGGGAAAATCCAATTTGATTGCTTATTAGTGCTCACGCAACATGAATTTTAATGTGTCTGCGCATCTGCCGGAACTCATATTTATTCGATTTTAATTCGATATCAATGTAGCAGGCTTGAATTACACTTTTAATGAATAGAATAAAGCTACTGTAAGTTGAAAAATCATTATATTAAATTTACTTTCAAATTGTGAGGCTAAAGTTTTATCAAAAGTTTTGTTTTACTTCGATAACATAAAAATAAATACATCTAGAAAAAAATATAAAGCTCGTTTATTATTTCGCTTGTTTTCATATCAATATTTCCGGTTTTAACTAAAACATTAACGAGTGAAGCTTGTGCAGCTAAAAAGAGTAAATAATTTATTTCCCACAAAATGTAATAATTTATTTTATTTCCAAACTGGTTAACATGGCTTAAATTTCAGCACAAATTGTTAAATTTCTTAACTACCTTTCTTTTTGGTTTATCCCAAGGAGGAATTACAACTTTTCCTTTTCCAAGAAAACTCTAATAAGAATCGACCACACTTTGCAATTTCCGCAAAACAAACCTGCCACAAAGAAAAAAAAAATACTATAAAACCAAAACCATTTTGTAAAGTTTAGGTGAGTGTCTCTGGAGCTTCAAGTGCCACACACAATTTCGAGATCTAATTTTTCCCTGGAAGCCACAGTGACAAGGCATCCTAATTAATTTTGTGCGAACAGCAGAGTAAATGGCAAATATTTGCGAAAATTTCAATGCAAAATGATGAATTTCAGTTTGTCAAGCGACAATGAATTGCAAATTGCCGTAGTGTCAAATGTGGAAAATACATTTTTGCAATCGAATTTCGAGGGCGTTCGGAGAGCGTATGTGCCAAAAACTAATCGTGCTGAATTGTTGCGCAAAAATGTGTTATTTACTCAACAAAAGAGCAAACATAAATACAGGGTGTGACTTGGCATTTTGCCGCAAGACTTGTAGCTTTAACATGACTCACAGAAAAAAATTCTTTATTTCAAATAAAATATCAACAACATAAAACCGTAATTAAAAAAAAAAATATTAATCCTTAACAGTATGAAACACATAACAAAAAATAATAAATTAATTAAAACACAACAAAATCATTTATTTTTTTTTTATCAATTCTTTGTTTATTTAGGGTTGCAATAAATATGGAACTGCCAAATCTTTTTTACATTTTATTTGTTTTAAATCCTTGCAAGACAAGGATTTTTTTTGTAAATTGATACTTTTGCAGGGCAAACCTGTCTTGTTTGCCACTTAAAACTATATAAAATTACGTTTGTGAGAGGCAAAATTCTGATAAAAACAACAAGCCTGCGAAAAATGTTGCTGTCCCAGTTTTTACTTTCAGCACTCAATTATGTGCATAAATGCAGCAAAAACATCCACACAAAACATACACTCAGCGCAGAAAGTTTCTTCCCCCTCAGTTGACTTAATGCTTAATGGCATTTAGGGGGCACGGTGGAAATTGTTTTAAATTGCAAAGCCAGAACTCGGAGGAGGTCCTTGTAGCTGTCGCTGATGTTGAGTTATTGTCCTTTGTTGGCGGGCAAAAGACATAACAAATTATGTCATTACACGGTTTTCTTTTTATTTTTCATAAATTCACTTCCCTTCTCTAATTTAAGTTGCCTGCACTTATTTAAAATCACTTAAATTGGCAACTGCTCAAGTTTTCCGCTTTCCCTCTCCACGCAGCTTTCTCCTCTACTTATAACTTTTGATTTGCGTTCCAGGCAAAATTATAAGCCAGAAATTTGCATAAGTTTGAAGTGAAATTTTGTGCAAAGCGAAAAGAAAAACCAACTATAACCGACCAGTACTCAAGTGGCTAAAGTGCTGCAAAATATTGCACTGGGATGGAAAATAGCTGCGGGGGTGTCTGCTATTGAAGCAAAATTTTTAACAAATTGTTTTCCTATCGGAAAATGTATTGAACTGCATAATAAAGGACCAGATTCCGCGATGACCCAAATATACTTAAGCGGAGCCTCAATAAAAGTTCATTCATAACTAGCTTCATCAACATTTCATACTGCCTATAAAACTGGTTTTTAACTAGAAATATATATTTTATTTGAATATCAGAGGTCAAAAAGCTTAAGGTATTATTCTCGTTAAAAGCCAATTCAGTTTCATTGAGTTGAATTTTCCTTTCAGCAGAATTCTATTGTTACTCTTCTCTGACGATATTTATTTCTATTCAGCATTTTTATTGGAAATTTCTATTTATAAGAAAAGCTGCTTTCTTGAAGTCCATAAAATAACAATAATTTTCGCAGAATACAAATCACAAATAAGTAATGCTACACCTATAAAATTATGTCCAATTAGTTGGTTATTGAGTTTCATTAAAACCAAATCACACTCTGCACACAGAAGGTCAATTAATTCGCCCTTCACACGTTATCAAATTTTCACATCAAACATATGTCTGCGAACGCATTAAATTCACTCGAAATTACTCAAATAATCTGAATTTAATTAGTTGCGAATATTTTTATGAGCACTTCCCTTGCGAAAGAATCACAATATCCACACATTCCCGGGAGTACTTTTTAATTAGTTACGTTTATGGCTGTGACTTTAATGCATTTTGGCAGCGAAAATCAAAGGACAAAGTCATATGCGGCAAGGGAAAGTTGAAACGTTTTGAATGTGGTTTTCAGGGATTTTCAGATGTTTCCCCCCGAATGCGAGATATTCACTCACCTGAAATGACCTGGTATGCCGCACGGTTCACAATGCAAAACCAAGACCGCCGAGCTGTGGCAAATAAAAAATACATTTTCACTTTTATGACTGCCATATAAAGACGGGGATTTTAAAATACTTTTTCTTTTTAAAGTTAAAACCGGTTTGGAAACTGCTTCATATATGGAACAAATTTAATCTTGTAGTAGTTTTCCTTTCTTGGCAGTAAAATATAAAAGAGAATATTAAACACCATGAGCGCAGAGTAAATTAAATTTTTACGAATTTATGAGCTGACTTTATTTAAAAGCAGAAGTGTTCTTTGGCTGTGTTTTCAATAGTGACACTTTAATTTTGTGGTTAAGCATTAAATATATTTTTAAAAAATCAGGTTACGTTTTAAAATATATCTTTGTCAATATGTTGCAAATTTATAATTTTTTCAGAAAATGTACGATACCATTTACATTTAAAAAATACATTTGCTTGTGTTGAAAATTAACACAATATACATTTTTTATATAATATTTTTTTTTTTATATTTTCATAGATGAGAAATATATAATCATTTCTAAAAAAGAACATATATTTTTGTATAACCATTATGCCATTAAAGTTTATGATTGTTTTTTCACAGCTACTTGGTCTTTAAAGTTTGACTCTGGGTGTAAAAAGACTTTTGTAAAGAAAAATAATATGTTTCAGCGAATGTGGCATGACATTTAAAAAGATACAGACTATAAATTTTGTATAACCACAGAACAACCACTTGCTTAAATCAACTCGAAAAATGCAAGGAAAAACTTGTGAAATCAATTCAGCGTTTTCAGCACTTAATAATCGCGCTACGGAAAATAACGCGGCACATTTAACGATTAACGGCTAACGCGATGCTGAAAGCGAGTAAACCGTTGGGTAAGAAGAAAAAAAACGCCAGCGCCGACGACACTTTCACATTAATTAAACGCGTTTGTATGCAGTACACACACACACACCAACACGAAGCACAGGTGTGTACAGCATGTGAGTGCTTTACCTGAGACACTGTGTGCTGCGAGTGTGTATGTGAGCTGACCGTTGCGTATCCGCACCGTTGGCTCTTCGAATCTCACAAGGACCTTTAAGTAACACTGCCGCACGTTCGCACGCCGTAAAGTCCCCAAACAGACTGAACCAGCGACTTCGCCGGAAAGTCGAATGCTCCGTGCCGCGAAGCAACAGCTCGAAAATGTCCCAATCAAGCCAAGGAAAATGGTCCAAACTGTTGCGCAAAGTGCGGGGAAATGGTCCCTGATTTCGTACTAAAAAGGATTTGGTTATTGCGCAGGCGCATAGCAGGGGAAAACTGGGTGAACTAAACAGCTGGGAAGCAACAGTTTGTTTGAGAGGGGGCCAAGTGGGTGAAGGACGGGCCGCCGGTTTTTCAGAAGTGGGTCTCTCAGTCAATGTCACACTCGTTGGAGATTTTCGGTATGTAAATGGGGTGTGCTTGGGTTGTTGCGAGCTTCTTTTTCTTGGCAGCTGATTTTCGACTTTTACGCTTGTTGCGCTCCCTCCTAAAAACAAAAAAAGACGGGTAATTACTCGGTAGGAATTTTGGGACCGAGTCTATTGCAATTAGTATGCCGAACGAGAACATTGACGCCTTTTCTCTTTTTATTTGTTTGGCTATTAAACATTAAACGGGCAACCCGATGCCACCTGGCCAGACAGACAACGTCGCGCACGTGACGCACAGTCCAGTGTATTTAATTAGTTGGCCATTTTTATGCCGCACATAACCCGCGACGCACCCTTGGCCATGGGATATATAATATAATCGAGCCACCGCCGATATCCTGCGTCCTGTGTCGCCAAAGTTTGCTCTCATTGTTTGCCATTCGCCGTGAGCGGCATTAGTCAGCCCTGATTACTGTCTGCCCTTTGATTTCGACCACAAAGCGGCGGCTATAAATACGCGATCAATGGGTCAGCTGGAAATCGATACCTCTGAATGGCATTCTATTTTCATCTTTCCCACTTTTTTCTATCTCTCAAGCCAAGGCAATAAAACCTTTTCAAAGCGAAGGGCATTTTATTCGTTGTATTTATAATTAGTTTGTAACGTTTTTGCTTTGGTAAAAATTCAAAAACAAATGTAAAATTTATTAGCAAACAAGCCAGCTAAAATAAATTCTGGTTTTCCTTACTCTCAACTCAAATGTATTTAGCTAAAATATATATGATATACAAATATTCTAATAGAATAAATAATTTATTAATTGATATTTCCAGTAGAATTTTATACAGTCACAAATACACCTTATAGTAATTAGTATCTCGTTTACTTAATTTCGATTCAATTATGTTTATTTCTATTTGAGCTCGAAGCTTTTTGACCTTCAAATTATGATTTTATAACGAATCGTTAACTTGAACAACCTTGTTGCAGCTCGGCATTATCGAAACAAACAACTCAGAAGAGGGCTATTAATAAATATTTGTTCAATTATCGGAGTACTTGGAAATGAACTAAAACGAATGACAAGGTTAAGCGGGGAGGTCGTCAAAAAGGGCAGACGAGTGGGGAAAATCACTTTCTCTTGGGATATATCTCTCCATCTGGCGATATCCTTGCTGCAGTTTATTCCGCTTCTTTATAAATAAAGCAGGCAAGAATGCAGGATAAAATGTGAGCTTCGGGCGGAAAATGTTTGGGGTGGAAAATGGTGATGGGGTGGCAGCCATTCAGGCTGCAGTACACACGTTTTCCCATTCTCGTCTGTTTGCCTTCTATGTTTTTCCTAGTCTGTTTGCTTTGCACCACACTCACACACACACACGCACACACATACAATCGGCAAGAGAAACATTTGTTTATTCAGCGCGCCGATCCAAAGAATCTGCCACATGTACAAGCGAAAAAAAGGAATTTATATCCCGGTGAAGCCCAGTTTCCAATTGCAAATGGCGCTGGCTAATGGCCTGCATCGATATACGAATACAATTTACCAGATGAAATCGACATCAAAAATAAACCCTTACCTTTCATTGTCAGAAAATATTTGCGAGGCGGTTCAGTTTTAATTTTGCGGCTTCCCCTTTGCATAGACGTGAATATTTTATGGCTGCCCACATGCACAAATATTAAAAATAAGTAAAATACGGAAATCAAAACTGAAAGCTCCTGTCGACAACCGCAGGGCAAAACGAACAACAATTCATATCCGGTTCCGATTTGCCCACAAAAACTAGTCGAGCCTGAAATATTTCAATAATATTTTGTCTCCTTTTGCCAGTTTGACCTGTCGCTATGCTAAAAACTGTAATTTTCATACTTGTAGTTGGTAAAATTCATGACGATATGATAGACAGTATTTTTACAAAACTAAAAGTTGTTTGACAGTTAAAAGTAGTTCAAATAGCTGAACAACTGCCATGTTTATTTTCAGTCTGTTATTGATAACTCTATGTAAAAAGTTAATTGCTGATAAGAGAAACTTTTAAGATGAAAATACTATCAAATAGTTTTAAAATAACCGCTTTTTCATATACACATTTTGATTAAAAACCTCACATAATCTGGTCAACACAACTACTAATTTCAATCAGTTGCTTAAGCTAGAAAATATTATTCTTAATTTTAAACAGCAACAGTTTACTCATTATATATTTAATGGACTTTGTCGTCAAAATCATAGAAAGCTGGTATAAGCCATTATTTATCCAATAAATATACTGCACTGCCACCGAGCCAAATTATGTTTGTCAAATTGCTGGCCTGGCTTTAATATAAAGTAAACAGCATTAGCCAGTCCTAGCCCGAGGCACATAGCTTTGTTGGTTAAACAATTTGAAAATTTTAGTTAATTTCTCTGCTCGTACAGAGGCCTAATTGACCGAACGTCGGTCGCACATTTGTGGGGACAGACAATTAGGTTTCGGCCATGGTTTCCAACGACAACGGGCGACCACAGAAGCCAACTATGACTATGGCCTAATAACAATCAGCAAGGATAGCTAGCTGGCAGCCAAACTGGCTGGCTGGTTGGCTGGCTGGCTGTCTGGTTGGCTGGCTGGCTGCCTGACTTGCTGGCTGTGGGGAAGGAACAACGCTTTAGACCGGCCTACACGAACCCGGCTAATACAAACATGAAAGTTAATTAAACCGAAAGTAGACTGACGTGAATTTATATGGTCTAATAATATGCCTTTTGGCCGAAGGGGAAAAACCAACAGCATCATCCCCTTTGGTGGCTTTACGCTTCGCTTAATAGCAAACAATAATTAAAAGTGACAAGTAAATTAGTTTCCTGCCGTCAACTGATTGCGAAAAGAATGCGTGGGAAGTCGTTGGCTAATTTTTTATTAGCCGCAACGATACGCCGGAACCGATATGGCTAAGACTTTCCCCGCCGCCTTTTCGGGCGGAACTTCGCACCTGGCTCGAGCTTCTCAGCTATTGCCTTTCTGGATGTTTTATTCATGCGACTATTAACTGATTTTATCACGCTACAAATATGCACTACAGGGCGTATGCATAATAAATTCCAAACACCGTTCCGGGCATTGTTTCTCTTGTTTGTGTTGTTTCTGTTCTTTTTTTTTTTTTTTTTTTTTACTGTTTTTACTGCAACAGCAGCTGCTGGCTCGCAGGACGAATCTGTGCCCCGTTTGCGGCAATCTTCGGCGCATTTTTATATGCCACCGCCGTTTTATGACCTTGTTTATCCTTGTCACATGGCCCAAAGTCTTTAAAAACCGAGCACAACTTTGATGAACTCGTAAAAAAGAATAAAGAATAAGTGGAAATGAATTAGTGTCGTGGGTAGAACAGTAGTTACCCAGCAATTGCTGGATTTAAATCAAAGAGCAGTTCAAACGTAAAGAACCAATAAAGGGGATATAAAGAAAATATTAAAAATATATTTTCGTTTTAAAGGCTAACATTTGGGTAAAGATTTCCATATAATTTTGGTTCTCATGAAATAATCCTTTTTTTACTTTTTGGCTTATTTAATTACAAAATCAATCATTTAAACATTTAATAAAAAGCTAAGTCAAATTTTAACTATGCAATTGTAAATTCTTCGGCAACAGCAATTTGACAGTTTTAAATAAATACTTATTTTAAGTTCCTTAAAAAATCACAGAAAAAAAACTCTGACGAAAATAGGCGTGTTAACGCCCTCCGACCAACAGAAATCTGTTTTTGATGGCTCTTCCTGAATGAGTGAAAAAATTCAAAAATGGTTGTCAAAAAAGCGTCACAGAGAAATTAATGATGACTTTTATACGCGAGTAATTCATGGCATTTTTTTATAATAAACCCACACCCGCACACACATGGGATACCTTTAATTTGATTTCTAAGAAAAGGAAAATGCGGAAAATGTACATATTTATGAACGCATGAAGGAAAAACTCTCAAAAGGGACAGAAGCGAATATCAGGAAAAGAGGAACAGGGAAAATACCCAAATTATGTGTGGGTATCCCTGTGACTTGGCGACTTTTTAAAAAGCTTTTTTATGCTCGTTTGCATACACTCAGATTTTGATAGCATTCAAAGTCAGTTTAACAGTCGTCATGCGATTTATAACGCATAATAAGACAATCAGACGGGCCAAATGCGCCCACGCAAATAAATACTATACATATAATTTTGCGGTTTCAGGTTTTCTAAGGCGATAAAGCAAATTGACAATTTCCCCGCCGGACGACCGCTCTTAGATTTTCCAGCCAGCTTGTCAGCTTTTTACGGCGGTCAGCAAAGTTGTCAAAGTATTTGCGGCACAAAAGTTTTTCCTTCGTCTATATCTTTAAACTAAAAACCAAACTAAACACGGTCCTCGAATTCTCGAGAAAAGCAACGGATTCCTTTGGGAGGGGGAAACAGGTGGAGTGCAACACCTGGATCGGTGATAAAATCCTTTCCAGCTGTGATTCCCAGTTGTCTTATAAGGCCAAAGGTTGTTTTGCAAAGGTTAGTTAGACTGACTGTGATTAAAGAAAGCCGGCACTTTAATACTAGTTTAAAATACTAGTTAAATTTTTAATAAAATGCATCCGTTCTTATGATTTAAATATTTATTATGAATCTTTTCTCAGAAATATCTAGTGCAGCTGTGATTTGCAATCATCTTTTCTAGGAAAAATGCTGCTTTGCAGTTTGTAAGATTGACTGCGATTTAGAAAAGCAAGCACGCTTCGCTGGCATAAAAAATACGTTTCAATTATTTACTAGAAATCATATCTTCCTATTTAAAGCTCCATTTCAGATAGCTTCAATTTCATAAACTCATAGCACCTTACCCGTGTAAATTTATCGGTAATGAATATTTATAAATCTGTTAAAAATTTTGCCCTACATCTTGTCCCAATTATAATCCGACAATTAAATTTACCTTAATCCAAAGGGGATTTGCGAAAGTCTGTAGATTGATCCAAGCCCAGCTCCAATCAAGGACAATCAATAAACATAAGCCCACTTAACCTGATTAAATTAACAACTTTTGTTTTGGGCGGACGAACTTGAAAAGGATTGAAAGGGACCCTTTTCCAAGTCCCTGAAAATCGGCGCCCTTGTGGCGAGTGCAATCAATTGCAAATTGAAAATTCAATTTTCATTAATCGGCTTAAGCTAACCTTATGGCATACCTCACCAGTTTCAGAATTTAACTTTTTCCGCTGCCACGGTCTCATGAAAATATGTACGAGTTCGTGTGTGGCTGAGTCGAAACTTTTGGTTGCCATGACGAGGTTTCTGTGGTTGTCGTTGCTGCAGCTGCAAATATGTTCAGCTCTGCGGAGCCAGCATGCCAAACCAAACACCAGCATATTCTATTGAGTTTTCGGTTGTTTTTCCTGCCTCCGCCCCACTTTCCACCCCTTTTGGCCTTGTCTGCGAAATACATGGCTTATAGAGACTAGACTTAGGAGGCAGCCACAAGCAATTGCGTTGGGGTGCAGTAGGAATTTCAGTGTTGACGTCTGTTCTAAGAATCTTTAATTATGAACCGCTGCAATGTATACAACTTAGCAAAGAAGTGTTTAAAAAAATAGTTTTAAGCGCAAAAAGCTGATTAAAACAAGAGCAGAGATATGAAAAATTTGAAACTTTTGTAATTATAAGCTTTAAGTTCTGTTCCCCAAATACTTTTTCATTTTCTAAAAAGCGGCTAACTAAATTTTGATTAGTTTGCTTGTTATAAGTAACATAAAGCATTCTTTCCATTATTTTCACATTATTTCAAAGAAAAAACATTTGATTAAAAGAAATGTAACGTAAAAAGTAATTTGCGGCTTTTTTTAACAATACTCATAAAGGTTTTTAGCTTTTTGATTACCTACATCATTTGTCCAAAATAATTAGAAAATGCTTTGTTAAAGAGTATCTTATCCAAAGCAATGAAATATAAAATTTAACAAAGGAAGAATGGCTACAGAATTCAGTTAAACAGCAAAGCAGAAATTCAATTTAATTTGAGATGCCTTGAAATTCGTCTGGAGACCTTCAATATCTTAGGTAGTCTGAACTTTTAATTAGTTCACTGGCTGAACAACAGACCGGAAATTAAGCCAGTGAACATTTTGTGGGTGTGGATGTGTGGATGTGGATGTGATGGGTGGAAAAGCATGTTTTTCCAGGCTTTCCACACACTTACAACCAGCCACTTACGGATGTGCTAACCCGCCCACCGATGTCCTTTTCATGCAGGAAACACTTTAATAAAGGACTCGGTGACCGGAGCGGTGGGAGCAAATGCCTAGCACCAGGACCTCGACCTCGTCTCAAAAAGGACCACTCTTCATTTGGATGAGTGCATGTGGGCGTGGCCCCAAAGGGGGCGGCATGCATACAAGCCCTTCAACCCCCCAACATCAGCAACAACGTTGAACCGACCATTAATTAGCCTTTGTTTTAAAGCACGGCACAAATTGAAATGCATTTTTCACGTCACATTTCCCCCGCTTTTCCTCGGGGCCCAAATGGATGTTTATCCGCTGCAAAATGCATAAAAGCGTGCGGAGTGCATGCAAATGCAGTTGC